GATAAGCTTCCAAACAAAGACAGACTAGGAAGAAGAAGTGACAAACTAGTTCCAAATATTTAGTCACTGAAAACCTCATGAATAGCAGCGAAACACTATCAGATATAGTGCCGGAAAATGAGCCCCTCAGGTTGGAAGGCACTAAAAATTCGACTGGGGAAGAGTTGCCTCCTCAAAGTAGAATTAACCATGATGGCATGATTGGAGTAAAGCCCGTGGGAGAAAAGGCCGTGGGACTGTCATTTGCTGATGGGGCACAACTCAAAATGAAGACAAACAGCTGTAAACATGCACTGTAAATTGGAACATGGAATGTACGAAGTATGAATTTGGAAAAATTGGAAGTTGTCAAAAATGAAATGGAATGCATAAACATTGATATCTTAGACATTAGGGAGCTGAAATGGACTGGTATTAGCTATTTTGAATCTGATTCAAATTGATTTGAATCTGATAAACCATTGAAACCACATGGTTTACTATGCCGGAAATGACAAATCGAAGAAGAATGGAGTTGCATTTATTATAAAAAAAGAACATATCCAGACCAGTCATGAGGTACAACTCTGTCTGTGATAGGATAATATCCATGCACCTACATGGAAACCCAGTTAATCCCACTATTATTCAAATTTACGCACCAACCATTAAAGCCAGTGAGGATGAAATAGAAGAATTCTACCAACTTCTTCAATCTGAAATCAAGATATATTGATCATTAATGGTGATTAGAAGGCAAAGGTTGGGAGCAAAGAGGAAGTAGTTGGAAAATATGGCCTTGGTGATAGAAATGATGCTGAAAACACATGATAGAATTCTGGAAACCCAATGATTTGTTCATTTAAAATACTTTCTTTAGACAGCATAAGAGACGACTATACACATGGATCTCACCAGATGGAATACACAGAAATCAAATTGACTGCATCTGCGGAAAGAGACAATGGAAAAGCTCCATATCTTCAGTAAAAACAAGGCCAGGGGCAGACTGTGGAACAGACCATCAATTACTCATATGCAAATTCAAACTGAAGCTGAAGAAAATGAAATCAAGTCCACGAGAGCCAAAATATGACCTTGAATGTATCCCACCTGAATTTAGAGATCATCTGAAGAACAGTTTTGATACATTAAACACTAAAGACAGAAGACCAGAAGAGTTGTGGGATGACATCAAGAACATTCTACATGAAGAAAGCAAAAAGTCATTAAGAAGACAAGAAAGAAGGAAAAGGTCAAAATGGATGTCAGATAAGACCATGAAACTTGCTCTCCAGGATAGAGATGCTAAAGCAAATGGAAGAAATGAGGAGGTCCAAGAGCTGAACAGAAAATATTAAAGATCACCTCGAGAAGACAAAGCCAAATATTACAACAAAATGTGGAAAGATCTGGAATCAGAAAACCAAAAAGGAAGAACACGCTCAGCATTTCTCAAGCTGGGGGAACTGAAGAAAAAATCCAAGCCTCCACTTTTGTTATTGAAGGATTCTCTGGGCAAATTATTAAATGATGCAGAAAGCATCAAGAGAAGATGGAAGGAATGCACAGAGTCACTGTACCAAAAGGAAATGGTTCATGTTCAACCATTTCAAGAGGTAGCATATGATCAAGAGACAATGATACTGAAGGAAGAATTTCAAGGTGCATTGAAGGAATTGGCAAAGAACAAGGCACCAGGAATTGATGGAATCAAAATTGAAATCTTTCAAGAAAGTGAGGCAGCACAGGTAGCACTCACTCATCTCTGTCAAGAAATTTGGAAGACAATTATCTGGCCGACTGATTGGAAGAGATCCATATTTGTGCCCATTCCAAAGATATGTGACACAATGGAGTATGGACAATCTCTTTGATATTCCATGCAAGTAAAGTTTTTAAAGGTAATACAGAAGCAGCTACAATCATACATTGACAGAGAACTTCCAGAGGTTAAAGCCAGATTTAGAAGAGGCCGTGGAATGAGGGATATCATTGCTGGTGTCTGATGGATCTTGGCTAAAAGCAGAGAATATCAGAAAGATGTTTACTTGTGCTTTATTGACTACACAAAGTCTTTTGATTGTGTGGATCATGACAAGCTATAGACAACATTGCAAAATATGAGTATGCCTGAACACTTAATTGTGCTCATGAGGAATCTGTACCTGGACCAAGAAGCAGTTGTTCGAACAGAACATGGGAACACTGAATGGTTTAAATTTTAAAAAGGTGCGCGACAAGGTTGTTTTCTTTCACCATACTTATTCATCCTGTTTGCTGAGAAAATAATCCAAGAAGCTGGGTTCTATGAAAAAAAGCATGGCCTCAGGATTGGAGGAAGACTCATTAACAACCTGTGAAAAGCAAATAATATAGCCTTGCTTGCTAAAAGTGAAGAGGAGTTAAAACATTTACTGATGAAGATCAAAGAGCACAGCCTTTGATATGGATTACATCTCAATGTAAAGAAAACAAAAATCCTCACCACTGGACCACCAAACAACAGTCTTATCAACGGAGAAAAGATTGAAGTTGTCAAGGACTTCATTCCTCTTGGATCAACTATCAACACAGAAGCAGCAGTCATGAAATCAAACGACATATTGCATTAGGCAAATCTGCTGCACAAGACCTTTTTAAAGTGTTGAAAAGCAAAGATGTCAGCTTGAGGATTAAGGGGCACCTTACCCAAGCCATGGTATTTTCAATAACGTCATATGCATGCGAAAGCTGGACAGTGAATAAGGAAGACAGTAAAGAATGGATGCTTTTGAGTTATGGTGTTGGAGGAGAATATTGAAAGTGCCAAGGGGTACCAAACGAACCAATAGATCCGTTTTGGAAGAAGTACAGCCAGAGTGCTTATGGAGGCCAAGATGGCCAAACTTCTTCTACCATTCTTTGGACATATTTTCAGGAGGGACCAGTCACTGGAGAAGGATACCATGCTTGGTAAAGTGGAAGTTCAGAGAAAAAGAGGAAGACCCACAATGAGATGCATTGGCCAAGTAGCAGCATCAAAGGACTCAAGCGTGGCAACGATAGTGAGGTTGGCCCAGGATCAGGCAGTGTTTCGTTCTGCTGTGCATATGGTCGCTATGAGTTGGTCCCGACTTGATGGCACCTAACAACAACAACAGGTGGAAATCTGACTTTTTTGGGAAATTAAATATGGTTTAAAGAGATGTGTATAGGTGCCTATTTAACATGGGTTTGACTTTGATGGTTAATTTTATGTGTCAACTTGACTTAGGCTATGATGTCATTTCTTTGGTCAAGCTTTAGTCTAGAATCTGTTATGAAGTAGCAGCATGTGATTAAATCAGTTGACCTTAAGTTCAGCAGATTACCTTCCATATTGTGGGTGGGATTCATCCAGTAAGTTGAAGGTCTTAAAATAGAGGGAATTTTACCTCAAGTGTATTCTGCCTCCAAACTGCAAGTTAGACATCTTGCCGGAATGCAGTCATTCTTCTCTCTTCCCATCACCTGGCCTATGAATTTTGGAACACAATATTGCAGGAATCTCTAGCCTATTGAATTTTGGATTGCTTGTTCCTCACCCCAATTGCATGAGGCAATTATTTAAAATAAATCTCTCTCTTAATTTCTGTCTTTGCCATGCGATATAAAGTAAAAAGTTGTTTCAGGACTTTTTCATTGAATTGTATTGATGCCCTTGTTAGAAATGAAGTGACTATAGGGATCTATTTTGGAATCATTTTACCATTCTATTGATCAATCTGTCTCTTCATATGCCTTTGTCATATTTTATTGATGTACAATAAATGGGAGTTAAGTCATTAATATAAGCCCTTCAGTGTTCTTCTTTTACAAGAGATATTGGTTGTTGTTATAGTGTTATCTGTTCTAAGTCTTTTACATTTTCATATACAATTTTAGCCAGCTTGTCTATTTCTATTTAAAATACCTGTAGGAAAAAAAAAAAAAAATTACCTGTCGGGTTATTGCTAGTCTTGCTTTGAATTCACAGATAAATTTGGAATTACTTCATAATATTGAGTCTTCCAATCACGGACATGATCTGTTAGCATCTTGATCACCCAGTTTTTGTCCAGTGAAGGTCACCCTACCCTACTTTATTTTGTTCCCAAGTGCAGATTTTTATCCTATGAGTTTTATTGTGAACCTTTTTTTTTTTTTTTTTCTCACATACTGGATTTCATTTATCAACAAACTCATTTAGAAAAGAAAAATAATGGGCTAGTAATTCTCTAAAACTTATTATACCATCTTATCACAAGCACCTCTGGCTGGTATGTCCCTTTTGTGGGGCTGTGGCTCCAACTGAGTGTCCTCTCTTCTTATCAGCTGGATACTTCACTTTCCACTCTAGTCCTCTGTGGCTATGTCACTGACTCTGGGCCAAGAGTCCCCAGGTCTTGCCACACTGCTGGCCAACCAGTTCTCCATCCAGGTTCACAGGAGTCTATTGAACATTGTAGGGCTTAGCTTCCAGCTTCATTGCTGTTTTTCCCTCACTTCCCCTTATCGGTGATGAACATGGTCACCAATCAGAGCATGTATTCCCATTGAATCTTAGTCTTTGATGGTGGTTTGCTCTGAGGGGACCCGATTACTTACCTTGATGTCTCCTGGGCAAGCAACTTGCTTGTTCTTGTAGTAATCAGTCAATCTGTCTATATTGTTATGTATTTTTCCTGTCAGTCTTTCTTTCAAGAAGTATCTTCTGTTCTTCTAACTGCTCCAGGCTGGTCTGTTTGCCCTTTCAAGTGGAAATTTCCAACCTCACAAGATTCTGGATGTGGTTCAGGATTCCACCTATGGCCTTATGTAATGCAGACGCTCCGCAGGAAGCCTCCTTCACTGGGCACATTGTAACCCATTTTAGGTATTCCAATCAGTTATAAGCAGAAGACGGACTTACAAGCTTTCTATGGTGATATTTCTGGCTATTCCTTTCTCTCCCTCTCCAGTGTCTATTTTATAATATAATGCAAGGAAAACCAAGATTCAAAAAACAGGCAAATACTTACCTGGCAGGGTGATTCCATGATCACATAGGTGGTTTCCCCAGGGCGAGGCTTATCCATTGTACTTCGGATGGGTTGATCCCTGCGATTTCCCCAAATGTGGGAAACTCGACTGCGTAATTTGTGGTAGTGAGGGGACTGTGTTCGCGCTCTACCCTGTCAAAAACAAAAAACAAAAAACAAAACAAAACAAAAAAAACAGGCAAGCATCTTAACATTATTTTCCCCCTTTTCCCCATCCCAACCATGTCTCAATCCCTGTATCCCAGGGTCCTGTTGTTCCAAGGTTGTGCATACATCATTATTTACCTCTGTCCCACTTAGCCCATGCAAACCTGCCCAGTTGTTCTCCCATCTGCTTTGTTCTTCCATTCCCCTCTCCCTTCTTGTATATTGCCCCCCTCCATAGCACCCAAACTATCCTGTGTCTATTCCCTGCCCTGTGCTCCACCTTCCCCTCCCTCCCCTCACCCTACCCCCACATCTCAGCAACCAGAAAAGAATCCACCCCCTTTTAGTATGGGTTCTTTTTCTTAGTCCTTTGCAGTACAGTCCATGGTACTTTTAATATTCTCCAACACCATAGCTCAAATGCATTAATTCTTCTATGGTCTTCTTTATTCACTGTCCAACTTTCACATGCATATGAGGTTATTGAAAATACCATGGCTTGGGTCAGGACACTCCAAATCCTTCTCTCTTAACCCATTTTTGGAATTTCCAGTAAGAATCATTTCTTAGCTATCATGTGACTAAGACCTGGACATTCATGCAACTTATGAGAGAAAGGATCAACAAACCTTGAAGAAAAATATTTGGGGGGCTCCACTTGGCAAAGCTGTTCTATTTAGTAATTGCACAGCTCTGAATGACAAAAGTAATATTACAAAAGTATATAACCAGCGTCTTTATTCAATGGAGGTTTTTTACTTTGTCTCACCTTAAGAAAGGTCAGCAGAACAACATAAATAAGCTTCCTCTAACTATGTACTCAACATGTTCAGCCTGATTCCTTTATTATAAGCCTCTCCCTTGCAAATAATCCCTCAGTGTTTTTGTATTTATCTCTAGTTCAGCACTAGTCACAGGCTGCCTTTTAATATTGCTCTTGGCTGTTCCGAACATTAACATTTTAAAAAATCATAAATGTTAACAGTAATGCCAAAAATATCCTGAACATTTCATTCATTCACTAGATACACAAGTTTAGATATACCCCATGACCAAGCATGTCTCTCAAGTATAATAACCAGTCAAGTAAAAGCATGTTCAATCTCTGCGGGTCTGATCCTTTTCCCATTACAATAGGATTATAAAGTAATTAACTTGTGCTACTACTATTGGAACCAGATTTGTTTTCTCACCACAGAAGCCCTTTTAGGAACAGCCAAGAGCCAGTGGTTCTTATCATTTATCACTTGTTTCAAGGGCTTTTACTTTCATCTTGGGATAACTCAGTGTGTTTGAAAGAGGTATAAGCCTTTTGTCTCATCTTGGGAACAAAGTAGACAATCAGGAGCTGGAAGTCCTGGGTTATTTTTCTTAGGCCAAACTCATGAATTCATCATCACTTCAGGGAGAAACAAAGAAAGGGCTTGAGGAAGTCATTCCCAGCTGTTGAGTACTCATTTAAAAAGAGAGACAAGGAGGAAAAAAGACAGAATGAAGAAATGCTGGTGACCCAGATACCAGCAGAGGAAGGGGGATAGACATCCTTCACTGTCAACCAGCCTAAGGAGGACTTTCCTTTATTAGGTCAGTGACCTGAACCAGAGTCTAGCTTGAGCTTCCAGCCTTAATAGATTCCCTTGAAGTTCTATAAGTTCTTAATTTAGTGTGAGGAAGGAGGAGAAAGGTTGTCAGAATGGCATCTGATTGTCCTCTGAATGGAGTTTGAATGGAGCTTAAGTCTTAGAGGAATGAGCTTAGGTCTTGAATGGAGCTTAGGTCTTAGAGGAATGAGCTTAGGTCTTGAATGGAGCTTAGGTCTTAGAGGAATGAGAAACATATGCACTTCAACCCCATTTAAAAACTGTGTGGATTTATCCAGATACAAAGGAATATGAATTCAGTATTTGAAGTTGGGCTCTGGCTTAGGTGATGTTTTTATCATTTCTATTACTGCTTTTTATAAATTTAATTCCCCTTTTAAATTTATTGATTGCCCTTATGCTAATGACAGGGCATATCAAAGCTCAACTATTGTTTAAATGATGGTTGAACTCCACCATAACTCAAACGCATCAGTTCTTTTACAGTCTTCCATATTCATTGTTCAACTTTCACATGCATGTGAAGCTGTTGAAAATGTCATGGCGTGGGTCAAGCAAACTGATATCTTTGCTCTTGAACACTTTGAAGAAGTCTTGTGCAGCAGCTTTGCCTACTGCAATACATAGTTCGGTTTCTTGACTGCTGCTTCTATGATTGTTGATTATATATCTAAGCAAAATGAAGCCTTTGAGAACTTCAATACTTTCTCCATTTATATGGATCTTCTTTATTGGTCCAATGATGAGGATTTTTGTTTCCTTTACATTTAGTTGCAATCCATTACTAAGGCTTTGATCTTCACCATTAAGTATTTTAAGTCCTTGTCTCTTCCAGCAAGGAAGTTTTTATCATCTGCTGTTAATGAGTCCTCTTCCAATCCTGATGCCACATTCTCTTTTATATAATTCAGCTTCTCAAATTATTTTCTCAGTATGCAGACTGAATAAGTATGATGAAAGAATACAACCCTGATGCACATCTTTCCTAATTCTAAACCAGTCCAATGTTCCTTGTTCTGTTCTAACAACTGCCTCTTGGTCTATGTACAGGGTCCTCATGAGCACCATTGAGAGTTCTGGAATATTCATTCACCACAATGTTTTCCATAGGTTGTCATGATCCACAAAATTGAAAGCCTTTGCATAGTCAATAAAGCATCTTTCTGATATTCTCTGCTTTCAGCAAAGATCCATCTGACATCAGCAATGATATCCCTCATTTCGTGTCTTCATCTGAATATAGCAGTTCCATATCAGTGTATTGTTGCATTCATTTTTGAAATTAAAAATTAAGAATTGAGGCAAATATTGTTAACCAATGGTGCATGAAGGGGATTGAAACAAAATATGATTGGTTGAGTGCAAAACTGATGTTTTACCATGTAAACTATCTCTCAATTCACAATAAAAGCTTTTTTTTAAAAAAAAAAAAAATTAAAACAAGTCCATAATAGCCAAAATATGACCTTGTACATATTGTTATGTGCCGAGGAGTCATTTCTGACTCATAGCGACCCTGTACAGGATTTCTGAAGCTGTAAATCTTTACGGGAACAGAAAGCCTCATCTTTCTCCCGTGGAACAGCTGGTAGTTTCAAACTGCTGACCTTGTAGTTCGCAGCCCAATTCTAACCACTATGCTACCAGAGCTCCTTGTACATATCTCACCTGAATTTGGAGATCAAGACAAGAAGAAAGGAAAAGACCACAATGAATGTCAGAAGAGACTCTGAAACTTGCTCTCCAGTGTGGAGATAGTAAAACAAATGGAAGAAATGAGGACGTAAAAGAGCTGAACAGAAAATTAAAAAGAGCATCTCCAGAAGGCAAAGTCAAATGTTATACTGAAATGTGCTAAGACATGGAGTTAGAACATGAAAAGGGAAGGTCATGCTCAGTATTTCTCAAGCTGAGGGTACTGAAGTAAAATTCAAGCCTTAACTTGCAATATTGAAATATACTATGGGAAAACTATTGAATGATGCAGAAAGTATGAAAAGAGGATGGAAGGAATAGATAGAGTCACTGTACCAAAAAAATAAATCATCAATGTCCAACCATTTTAAGAAGACAAGAAAGAAGGAAAAGATCAAGATGGATGTCAGAAGA